CACTACACCAACACAGAAAAAAATCAAGTTAGATGTTTACATATAAGTTTGAGTTAGTTTGCGAATGAAGAATGTTAATTTCTGAGCATTTCCATTCCCAAGAAAAATTTCCGCGGAGAAAAAATTTTCCGAAAATATCATTGTTAAAAGTTGAAAATTTTGAACTTCAAAATTTTTTCCGACGGGAAATTTGTGTTGACCAATCACATTTTACAAATTTTTCTTTCTGCGGAAAATTTTCCAGGGTAGAAATGGGCCTTTATGGTTTCAAATTTCACCATGTAGTTTTTGAATTGTTTTTCAGTTCGTTCTACAAAAGTGGAAACTTTGTTGCAGCTATCAATGCATTCACAGCTGCTATCGTTTTGGATGGAAATATACCATCGTATCCTTTTATTTTAAATTTTAGAAATTTCTGTATTATTATTATTATTATTATTATTACGAGTCCACAAGGGACCCTCAAAAATTCGAATGTTAAACACCGGTTGAAATATATGGCGAAGTTTACCGGTATCTTGTATAACAACAAATGTGAACGAATTCAACCACTAACATGTGAAAAATTTGTTTGTTATATATTATAAAAATGCTGCTAAAAATTATGGGACCCAAAAACAAGCGCATGCGTACAGCGTAGTTTCAAATTTCGATAAGGTTCTCTAACAATTGATTGAATTTATGTACTGTTTAAAACATGAGCAGGAGTTGATCTTTATCAAATATAAAACACAAGAGCGCAGCTCGAGTGTTTTAATATATCGATCTGATAAAGAATGGACTTGCGAGGGTTTTAAATGGCTTAAAAAACGACCCATCAAATAAGTATATTGGCCGATTGGCGCAGTAAACTAAACGTTGTCTAAGTCTAAGACTAAGCCGAGAAAATCAAAACTAAAGTTTATGTAAATGAACATGAGTTTTTTTTAAGGCTGTATAAGGGACCATCAAGAATTAATTGGACGATAAGGATTATCGCTTTGTTAACTGTGCTTTGTTCAAATCTTCATCTAAAATTTTGATCTAGACAAAAATTTCATCACAGCTTGAAAGAGCATCACTAAATTAGTAATATTCTAAAGTTTCGTTACGAAATGTAAAATGCGGATAATATAGCCATGCGAAATTTGCAATTTTCAGTCATTTTAGATTACAAACGGGAAATTGATACCCAAACACCCGACTTGGGTATCAATTTCCCGTTTGTAATCTAAAATGACTGAAAATTGCAAACTTCGCAGGGCTATATTATCCGCATTTTACAACATTTCGCAACGAAACT